ACACATGCGGCAAAAGTGGGTGGGACTATAAATTTTGAAAGGGTCCTAAATTTGTTTTGACTCGATCATTTTTTCTCATAAAAAAGACTTACCAAACTTTGTGTTGGCTTTATTGGATTGCAATGTAATTGAGACCATTATTCTTTTTGTCTGCATAAAATGTATCAAATTAGATGGGGAGCCTTTGATTTTCAGGGATTTATTAATTTATTGGATGGAAATTGAGAATTGGGCACTTTTATTCTTGATTTTCACTTTGCCTAATTCATAATTATGAAGGAACAGTTTGACTAATAAAGGAGATCAAATGTTATTTCATATCTCATATGACAACATGATTTTATATACATAACTACATATCATTATTCAAATTAGTCAAAAAAAAAAAAAAAAAAAAAAAAAATCGACTAAACTTACTGTTAACTTCTTTATTTAACTAAAAACTCTTTTATTGCTCCATAGAGAGATATGAACGAGTCGAATTTGACTCTTTTATCAATATTAACGACAGAGTTCGAGTCAAACTCAAACTGAACTGAGTTATAGAAAATTATATAAAGATCATTTATTTCGAATCTTAACGAGTTTGAGTTCAACTCGTTTATCAAATAAGACTAGTCGATCCTAAGTCTCCATGACCCGAGCTTACAAGTGATTAATTTGTAACGAATATAACAGTTTTATTCACATATCAATAGCAATTATATTGAGTTACTGAATAAATAAAATCCAACATAAGATTCATTAAAATCGATGAGACCAATCATACAAATGCATGGTAGCAAAAGGGTCGTGAAAAAGTTTCACATGTAGCATTTAGTCAGGGCCGGCCCTGGCCCAGGACGACCTGGGCTACGGCCCAGGGCCCAATTAAAATAAAGGGCACCAAATCCATTGGTTACTTTCTTACGTGAACATTGTGGGAAATGAAAAACAGTAATATTCATACCTCTTTATTGACTTTTTCCAAGTACGTCAACAATGTGGAAAGAGAAAGTAATATTCCCTCCATTTTGAAATATAAGGCGTATAAAGATTTCTTATTTTTTTTGAAATATAAGGCGCGCTCAAAAATCAAGACAAATTTTTGCATTTTTTTCCAAATATACCCTCATTGTGTTGAAATTAAGGAAGTGTGGAGTGCTTGTGATTAGAGTAAATAAGGTTAATTTATTCAATTTATTCATTAAATAATGTCTCCTTAATATTTGTGCAATAACCTTCAATGCCTTATATTTCAAAATGGAGGGAGTAGTATTCATTATTGTAATATTCATTATTGCCTCTTTATTGGCTCTTTCTTTATTAAGATGTCTCTCATTAATACACATTTTCCCTCACACAGTGCACATTGAATTACATGTATTTTTTAACATAACTTCAGTTTCTCTTTCTTTTCCCTTTATTACATATTATTACACTATCATTCTAGTTACTATTTATTTTATTTATTTAAGAAAAACTATTTTATTTATTAATTAATGCTCATTTTTTTTAATTTATGGTTACATTTAGGTCACTACTTAGAATTAGGTCTTATATAAAATTTGATTAAGAAAATATTAAGATGTATGTAAAATTTATTTAGATAATCACTCTAGTTACTATTTATTTTATTTATTTACAAAAAACTATTTTATTTATTAATTAATGCTCATTATTTTTAATTTATAGTTACATTTAGGTCACTACTTAGAATTAAGGTCTTACATAAAATTTGATTAAGAAAATATTAAGATGTATGTAATATTNTTGGTTGTGTTAGTTTGTCATGAGTTGTACCACACGATCCACACCTTTTTTATAAAAATTCTATATTTTTTGGATAACAATTGTTGGAACATCAATATTATATAAATTCTTTATTTGAAAAAAAAATTATTTAGGGCACTATTTTTGTGTTTCACCCTGAACTTATAATGTATAGGACGGGCTCTGCATTTAGCTTTACCTCAAAAGGGCTGAAAGTTGAAGGTTAAAACAAAAAGGCCATTTTATGCATTTTCAATTTTAAATGAAATATAATTACTGTGAATCAACTTTTTATGCATTTTGCATGGTCTAATTCTTTTAATTGTTTATTCTTTATTATCTATATATTCACAAACATCACACGACCAAAAAAAGATATGCTAACGTTTGTGTGTCACAGCTCACTTAAATTCACATAAATTTAAGTAAAGAAATCAAACTTTTTATAATGGGAATTCGGACGGCCATTTTTGGCTGTTCACACATTCCTACTAAAAGTTCTCCATCTTTTGGGATAAATTCTTTCTATGGCTTTTTCAGAATTTTGTGATTTTAAGAGTTTTCTCAATATTAGTAATCTATATATATATATATATAATAAGAATTATCATTTAATAAAAATAGTAGCAAAAAATTTAGGAAATATTTAATGCATGCCGTTTTTGAAACTTTTTAAATATATACATTAACTGCTTACATATACACGTTTTCAAATAAGATCAAATAAGATATGATCAAAAAATTAAATAAATTTATTAATATCTGCAATATTTTCATTGATATTTATTATAATAAATTACAAGATTTCCATGATCCATGTTGATAAGTTTTTGGTCAAGATAAATATTATTTTGTTAATATTTGTAATATTTTCATTGATATTCATTATAATAAATTACAAGATTGATTTCCATGATCCATATTGATATTATTTTGATCAAGATAAATATTACACCATATTTTAAGTTCTAACCATAATGTAATTTTTCTTTTTTCACAAATATTCACTCTTTATACAAAAATATTTATGAAAAATCGTACAGGTTAGGTAGAATTGTTTTTCCAAGTAATCTGACAAAATCAAGTTGGTGAATTAATCTTTGCCAATATATTTTTTTCTTACGCTTTGTTCTTCAAATTAATATAATTTACCATTTAAGAGATAATGACCATATACATTAAATAATTTTACTAATGGTAAAAAATTAAAATTGAAATATATTAACCATTTTTTAGAATTTATTTGTATATTATTGGCACCCATGATTATTTTTTTTATTTTGATTTATTTCTATAATTAAATTATTTTAAAATAAATTTTCATTGCAGAGTATGCTAAATAAACTATAAATCCTTATAATGCGAATTAAAAAAATCTTGATCATAGAAGAGATTGAGTTTTTAGAATTTTTTAAATCAAATTTGTTTAACTAGTATACAAAATTAAATTCTAAAAAAACATGTGTATATTTTGTAAAATATTTACACACTATTTAATTTTAAATTTATTTACATATTTTAAATTGATTACATAAATAAATAATACTAATGTGCATTAAATATTTTTCATTACATAAAATAAAAAGAAAAAGAAGATGTACAACTTCCATAACTTTATAAATAATAATGACATTATATGACAACAAAGTTTATAATAAAATAATAATTAAGTATTATATGGTGAACAAGAATAAGTAAAATTGTTATTCTCTCTTATAACAAGGAATAAATATATATATGCTACAATCAAATTTATATTAGTATAATTGTATTAGTGAGATAATATATTAATTATTTGACTACACTTAACGTTGATTAAGAGAGGTGGAAAATATATGATAACGCTATTGCTTTATATACTTAAACGGACAAAGACTGTAAAAATAACTCATTTAATATGGATGTCTCGTGCATTGCACGGAGTACGTACTAGTATGGTAGATATATCAAGAATGATTATTTGGGAGTTGTTCAGAATAAATCAAATAATTGTTCCATGAAATATAATGAAAACACTAAAAAAAAAGTAATAATATTATATGACCAAAATATTAACCACAAGAATATTTTTTTCACCACTACAAGTATATAGTGATAAAATAAACGTCAATAAAAATATATATGTAACAATATTAAGTAACAATGTTTAAAGTAAGTCAATCCTTAACCAATTTACCGTTAAATTTCACCTTATCAGTAACTGCTATACAGGATTTTTTATCATTCAATCAACACACATACTCGCACGAGTGTATATAAATCCAATGAATACTCTAATTTTTCCTAATAATCTACAGACATGCTAATAGACGAATTAAATACATTTGTGCAATCAATTAGTTTCCATTAAATGACAGAGATTATGCAAACTCCCAAGCCATTGAAAAAGGTGAGCTGCAGACTTCATTAATCATCTTTAAACGCAAAAAAGGTTAAAAAAAGCATGGAAGTAATCGTAGTTTGATGTCTGCAATTAATGATGTCTAGGGCAATTTTAAATTAATTGTTCAATAACTAAAAATAATCACTTGTTAATGGTCTCTTAAACACGATTTATCATGTTGTGTTTGTACTTCACGATTGCGCAATATTTTGGGTCGTGTCGTGTTATTTTATAGTTGTGTATTTCAATCATATTGTACCGTAAAGCAAAGAATATAGAAGTAAAGATAGGTAACAAAGTGCAAATATGGTCTCAATGGTCAAGTTGTGACATTTTTTTTATCTGAAATTCTAAATCAGTTTCTATTAGGAAAACAAAAGCCAATCAGAATCTTCACTCTTGGATTACATTTACACAACATTATCTTAAATTGTGCCGCCTTACTCACAAAATTCAATAGTTTTGTTCTGAATATAAGAATTCGTGAGATATGTTAACTGAAGGTTAAATTATTTTTTTAAGAAAAAAAAATGTATGATAGGAATGAATAGCCTTATAAGAATCCAACGATAAATTCTGATTATATCAAGAATTTTGTAT